GGTAGCAGCACGTGGAAAACGACTGTTGTGCGAGCAGCCAGGCGCAATGTGTGATTTGCGTCAGAAAAACCGACGGCGAGGAGAGGCGGCGTGGCGACTGCCCGAAGAAAGCGGGGGTCTACCGTCGTCCCGCCCGGGTGCGGCAGGTGTTGCTGCAGGAGGGTGCGTCGTGGGCGTTTTTCGGCAGGAGCGGCACAGTGTGGGACGGAAGTTATTTTCAACCCGCCGAAAAGATCGGAACAGGCCGCCTACGACTAGACTGTTCGCATTAGGGTCACTTCTGCGCCTGCAACAAAGTCGGCCGAATTTTTCGGAGCAACAGCAGCAGCCGACACTGTACTTCAGGCGACACAGGTTCCCCCTGATCAAGGGAAGTTGCGCCGCAGACAGGGCAGTACACCGACGGGACAACGGTTTGGTGCAGCGTCTAGACCCGCGAATTTCGCCGGGTCTACCGGCTACAATAAACGGAGTTGCGACAAATACGGGTCTTGCGAGAGAAACGGATTCCGAGCTTCAGGAGGGGAGAAAACGACCTACTGCGACGACTTTTTGCTGAGGCCGAGTTTCGCGGCTAAGCGGAGGTAGCAGAAGGAGCTCCCTACCGGCCAAAGTCTACCAACGTTTCACGTACCTCACACCAGAAAGGTCTCTAAGGCAATTCGTAAGTCCTTATGGCCACTGGATAAAAAGTGGGGGCCCTGTGTTTTAGCCCTGTGCTGGTTAGAAAGGCGTGGGTGGCGCTGGTTCGACAGCAGGGCGTACAAGAATTTTTCGTGGTGCGACACTGTTTTGGTCCCGACAAAAATGGACCATCGGCAACAGTACTCCGCCGAAAAAGTCGGGGTTGAAGAAGTTGTGGCAGCTGGCGGTGTTTCTCATGATTCAACGGTCTACCCGACGAAGGTGTAGCAGCGAAGACGGAGTTCCCGAAGTTGCGGAGTTTTTAAATGCGATAGGCTCGGTGGGCAGCGAAGCGGCCGGCTGATTGTTTGATATGATAAACTCGCTCCGACTACGATTGCGTTCGCGCCTTCATCGAACGCCAGAAAAATCGTGGGTCAACACGGAGAATACCTCATCCGACAAAAGCGGACACTGGGTGAACGGCGGCAAGCGAAATTGTCGGGGGGTGAAAATTAAAAAATGGAGGGAAAGTTGTGGGTGCCGCTTCAAGCTACTTGAGTGATTGGCTGAGCCCGTACACCACTCCACCGCGAATTTCGGAGTCTATTCGGTAGACCCCGAAAGGGTTTGATTTGTTCCATGGAGGCGCGGCGAGGGGTGTATTGCCAAGGATGCCTGGGATTTGCTAAGTAATTTCGACGGGTACGAAGATGGGTGAACGTCAGAGTACCAGGGTTAATGGCGGAAACGTCGGGGCTACACGGCAGAGAATACTTCGGGGCTTGATTCCGCAACCATGATTTTCGGGTGCAATTTCGACGGTGGGCGACGGGTGAACGTCTGCTCGCCAGCTGTTTGAGAGTTTTACGGTATACTTCGAGGCCATCTGGGGAAATCCTACAGCGAGATCTGCGGCGTCGATGCGGCTAGGTTCCGTGAAATTCGGTCCCGGTAGACCCACTGTTCTGGGTTCCACATGGAAAAGCGCCTTCTTTTTGGTGGGTTGCTAGTGTGGTTAACCACAGGCAATGAATGTGGCGACGGGTGGGCACGCTAGATACACCGGTTCTTCAAGGGGACAACCTGCAGCTGACCAAGCGTACGAGGATTTTGGGCACCGAGACTTACGGGTCTCAGCAGCAGTACTGGGAGCTGGGTCTTAGCGGAGTTCGGCGGCAACGGTCGGCAGTTCCGTTCGAAACGTCGGGGATGCAGAAGCGCTTGGTTAAGCGCGCAAAACCGACGGGAACACGATTGGCAGTTAATTCCGACTCCGTTCGGGGGTACCAGCGACGACACGGGTGAAAATTTGCAACAGGTGGAGGGAGGGGATGACAGCTGTTTTCGCCCCTGCCCGGAGGTTTTCGGCGAGTCACGACAACGTTGCCGAGGTAGCTGACGTCATCGGCAGTTCAAGTTCGAGTTTGAAAAAATATTTCGGGGGTCAGGGGGAGGAGCAGCAGGTGTTTTTCGACTCTGCCCGGTAGTTTTCGGAGAAAAGCGACAAAAACCTCGGCGAGTCCGGACAAGACTGTCGGGGGTACTGACAACTCGAGAAGCTACAGCGAGGATTTTCGCCGCAGAAACATGACAAACGGCAGCAATTCAGGGTTGCAGATGCTGACAACTGGAGATGCTGCAGCAACTCGGGTGATTTGATGCTGAAGCAGCAGTCGCGACTACAAGACAAGAAGAAAGTTGTCTTCATAAAAACATATTTCGAAGGATCGCACCCGCGTCCCGGCGCAAAACGATAATTTTATTGGGACATCAACACGGTCTACCCTGGGCGTTGTTTACGCGCCACATCAGCGATATTTCGCCACCGACTACAACTTTCGACAGGCAGCTGCTAAAATTCAGCGGGGAGTTCATGCACTTGGTAGTCTTGACTAACCCTGACATGCAGGAAAGTTGAAGATTCTACCCGCGCAGCTGTACACTTTTGGTGGGCAGCCCAGTCTTCAAGAGGGGGGAGAGAAAGTGCTCTCGCACTGTACTTGTCAGTTTTTTCTGACATCTCGTCTGACACATCCAGCACGACGGACGCTCGTAATTAAAACATCGACATCGACGGGTCCTGATTCATCGGATTCTGACAACGCGTCATAATTCCCGTCACTATTGCGTTCATCTCGACCGTCCGACACAGATCCGTCACATTGACGGCCTTCATTCATCGACAGATTTTCAAATCGACCTTCGCCTTCGACCGCCCGATCGACATCGGCAGTATCAACGGCTGACATTCCAACTCTTTGAAATTCGCCTGGTCAACGCTCTCAGCCACGCGTCAACTCGAAAGTCAACGTGCTTCTGCACCGTCAGATCAGTTTCGACCGAGATCTGCAGTTTTCACGCTACTGCACGACTCGTCTACGGATAAGGGGACCTTATCTAGAAGGTGGGAGAGTGTAAGGAATTTACCAATTCCTTGCTGTAGCCTTGCCTTAACGGGTACAGCCCGAGCACTTCGCGTCAGGTGGCTCGGCCTACACTTCCGCACCGAACCAATGCCGAGTCGCCCCGCACCAATCGCGACACTTCCAAACCATCCACGTCCCGAGGTCCTCGCCTAGCACGGTTTCGACCCTATAAATGCCTGTTCCTTTATCATTATCGGCATTCTGTACTCGACATCCTTTTTATAAAGTCTTCCGCGCACTCTGTCTAGTACAACTCATAACAAGAGTGAACTGTATTTCTGTCTGTGAGTACCTTATGATGTGCATGTGTGCTGCATCCAGCTTTACCAGTACAGTACTTTGCTATAAAATGGTATGGATCGTATGGCAAACATGTGAGCCGACTAACTGTACCGTACCTCTGGTCATGACATGTGTTAACTGGATGAATCTAATGGTTTGAAATAACACATGAGGCCTTTCATTCCGTAGTGACTGTGCCAACATTCTGGTCTACTGTCTATGCATTAACATTCAGGCTGGTGAGTAATGGTTCGGAGTGGCGAAGTGAGAACACCGTTGGAGAGTGCGCCACATTATCGTACTCAACCGCTTGCACTGAACAGATTGTACTGAAACGCTAGGGACTCGCCCGGGGACTCTTGAGGAATATAGTAAGTCTCAGTACATGAGAGATTTATAGTCAGTCGGTGTGAAGAGGTGATATGCTACAAGGTGCTGGCCAATCAGTGGTGTCTCGGGCGAGGTTATGAGGCAGTAAAGTGGGGTGTAGCAGTGACTGCTTATGGGAGCATTTGTGTTGTGCTAGATTTAAGCTCCCCCTTCCCTCCACTTGCGAGTGCAAGTCACGAAGAGTACTATCACTGGTGGACTAGAAACAAGTATGTCTAGAAGGTGGGAAAGGCAGTAGGATAGGATGAGGACTCGATTTCCATCTGGGAGCTTGCAGGAGGTGCCAAGGGAATTTCGCCAATGCAAGAATTTGACACCCGTGGAGGGAAATGGTTGTGCATATTGAGAAACATACACACACAATGTCCTATCTGTTGCTACTGTCATCGAAGCGCTGACAGATCATTGTTTTCTAGCCTAGCTGCATGCAGCCTCCTCGACAGCTGCAGCTATCCCACCGTCCACTCTTGCCGAACTCAGGATCTTCATACCTTTCAGGAGGAATAAGGGGAAGGAGTCAGTTGGGGCAGTCGCAGGTAAGCATTACGGGGGACGATCAGGTCAGTTGAAATGGCTGGTAGCATATCAGTTTGCATCGGCCCCTGACATGCCAGTTAGCATGGCGGGACGTCACCATGTTAGTTGGCATGGGGACCGGCATTCAGCTTCATGAAGACAGCGAAGAGCAGAGTGCTCGGATCCCCCAGAGGAAGATCGTACGGCGGAGTGAACACCTGAGTGGCGTTCACTGTAGGGCCCACTGTTGCTGTACCAGTTGCAGTTACATTGGCACCTGCCCCAGCTGCACCTGCACCTGCTGCAACTGCCCCAGCCGCAGCTGCACTTGCTCCAGGTGAAGCCTTGATAACGTTGGTGGTGTTGGTGGTGTTGCTACCTGCTTCCGCTACTACACCTGGAGGGACAGACGTGGTGTTCGCCACCACTTGTACTGAATCGGGTCCGCTTATAAAGAGGTTGCTCTGCAGCAGCACCTGGGCCGCCATCCTGGCTTCCACTGCGCTCCCAGTCCAGTTGGTGTAGAGATTGTTTGCCACGTGGCACTTGCCTAGCCTGCACATCGGCTGCATTGCAGATAGCGACTGGAACCAGTTCCTGTAGACAGTTACATTCATGTCGCGGTTAATTCCGTCGCCATCTGATTGGCCCAGGTGGAGTGCCGAGCCTGTCCCCGAGGCTGGGCTTGCCGAGGCAGTGAGGGTCTGCGTGCCGAGCGTGCCATAGAAGAGATTGTTGGAGATGGTAACCGCGGTGCTGTTACGAGCGAGCTCGATGGCTGGGAGGGTGGCTGAGAGGTTGGAGAAGCGGCAGTGGTCGATCCACGTGCTGCTTGTGTTGTAGAGAGAGATTGTTGCTGGAGAAGTTCTGCTGCTGGAAACTGCAAGCACGGATTGGGGGGGTGGAGAAGCACGGTGGTGTAGATTGAAATGGCAAAGAGTGATAAAGGTGGCATTGGGTAGAGGCAGTGGTGCTAGAGAGGAAATTTTGGAAGTGCATGAGAAGCATTTGATGAAGCTTGGCCCAAGACTTACATTCAATGTTATGAATGATGACTTGACTTGAGTGTTGCACCAGCAGGCTGTCTCCCACGATTTTCACGTTGACCCCTCGCCCATCCAGAGTCATGAACGATTTCACATATAGCGGCGCCATTAGTTGAATTGTCATGTCGCGAGCGAATGTGATAGTAGCGCCAGTTTTGTAGAAATTCGAGATTCCCCACCGAAGCGAACCCTGTCTTGTAGCGGAAGTCGAATCCTCCTCTAAAGTGACGACGTATGTGGATTTCCCAGCACCACCGACCAAACCCGGAGCGGCGAAACCCATCGCGCAACTCCCAAGGGCAATTCCGGCACCCGCAATGGAATACTGGCAATCGTTCGAGCTCGGAGGCGACGGTGCTGTAACGGTGCTGTTACCACTGGTAGTGTTGTTACCAGCGGTAGTGTTGTTACCTGCGGTAGTGCTGTTACCAGTAGCCGTAGTGTTCGCAGTCGCAGGAGGAGTCGTGGGGGATGGGGTCGGCGGGGCAGGCGGAAGGAATTGTCCGGAAGCAGGGGGCAGAGCAGAATCGACATCGTACTTGGGACCGCAGTTAATTCTCAAAACAGGCGCCATCTGACGTGGGTTCCGCGGCATCGTCAGCACGTAGGGAGGCGTGAAGATCGGAGTGGGGCCGGCATACGCCGTCTTGTTAAACGTCGCGCCTCCAGCCATGTAGTCTTGGAACGAAGCGATAGTGACGGTAGCGTCGGACCAAACATCTGTGGCCGGCATGCCTCTATACCACGGCGTCACCTCCTGTCGCGCCGAGCCCGGCGCCGGCCGGAAAAAGTTTTTCTCTGACCGGATTTGCGCGCCGCGGCGCGCGGCGAGGCAGTAGTAGGACCAGTGGGTGTAGAGGTTGTTTGCCACGTGGCAGCGTCCCTTGCGGCAGAGGGGTTGCATGGAGCCGGATGTGTTGAACCAATTGCGGTAGATCGTGACTCGCATATTCTTGTCCGCTTCTTCAGTGTCCGACAAGCCAAGCTGCAAGCGGGTGGAGAGAGAAACGGGAGGGATGGCCGGAGAAAAGGGTTAAGAAGGGGAAGCATTGAAGAGGAATTGAAAAAAACGTAGGTGAACGGGAGCGAGAAGGGCCGATGATAAACTAAGGCCGGGACGGGAAAGGAGGGGAGAGGAACAAGAAGACGAAGGGGGGAGGGGGGTCAGAGAGGGAAAAGGTAGTTTGGGGGTGAATGGGGAGCCGGCGCTATAGGGTAGGAATGCAAGGAGAGGGGAAAGGTAGCAACAAAATGTTCCTTATTTCGACCCGGTAATTGGTTTATTGTGTTATCAGCCGGGGTATGTCTGCATCTACCAGGGATATGCGCCCATTACCTGCATCGTCTGGCCGCGGCTGCTGATGTAGGAATTTGAGATGGTGACGTCAGTGGAGCCCCTTGCCACGTCGACCGTGCCCGTCAGGGCGTCCTGCATGCGGCAGTGGTCGATCCACACGCGGCTGCTGTTGTAGATGGGAATCAGATCGCCTCGCGGGTTACCCGACACTGTTACAACATCGGCAGCACGCAATGGGACAGACAGTGAACAGGAAAGATTCGAGTGAGGTTGAGTGTGTGATAATAGAAAGGGAGAGGTTGGAAGCTGGGGGAAGTGTAGGGATGATTGGGGGAAAGAGAAGGAAGCGGAAAGGGAGGAGCAATAGAGAATACTATGAATTTAGAGACCTAGAGCGACTCCGTACCTTCGATATTATGAATGATGACGTCATTCACGTTTTGCAGGACGATGCTGCCATTGGTGATGCGCACGTGCACGCCGCGCCCGTCGATCGTCACTCGCGAACGCAAAAACAGGTTACTCTGTAGCACGATCTCCATGCTTCGCGCAAACGTGATGATCACCCCCTCGGGGAAATTCATCAGCGCGAACCGCAACGATTTCTCCACGGGCCTCCCGTTCACCACCGTGTCATCTTCCGTTTCAACTTCGTACAACGATGATGTCGGCCACTGGCCGCCGCGGATCTTGGCGGACTGCGCGAATCCAACGGCGCATGCGTGAAGCTGCTTGACTTGCCCGTACTGGCAGTCGCGCGATCCCACGGCATATGCCGGAGTAGTCGCTGCCTCGGTAGAGTTCCCCGCTGACCCGGTGCTATTTCCTGCCGGGGCGGTAGAATTGCCGACTGCACCAGTCGAATTGCCAGCTGCACCAGTCGAGTTGACGGCCTTGGTCGTTACCAGCGGTGAGCTACCAGCTGATAGAACGGTTGCGAGTGGCTTTGCTGAAGGTGCGGGATTGGAGGGAAGAGCACCGGGCTTAGGATGGGACGCGTCGGGCTTAGGTGCGTCCGGTTTGGGAACAGGGGGCAGCTTCGGCACAGAACCACTCTGCTTCGGCGAGGAGTCACTCTGCTTCGGCGTGGGCCCACTCTGCTTCGGCGTGGGCCCACTGTGCTTCGGCGTGGGCCCACTCTGCTTCGGCGTGGGCCCACTCTGCTTCGGCGTGGGGCCACCCTGCTTCGGCGTGGGGCCACCCTGCTTCGGCGCAGGTAGGGACGCGGGAGCGGCGGCTGCGGCTGCGGCGGCGCCATTGCTGGCTGGCTTTCCCTTGGCGAGTGCAGCAGGCGTGGGTTTCCCAGTGGGAGTCTTTACCGGAGCGGTAGGAGCTGCGTTAGTGGAAACAACGGGCCGAGAAGCTGCAGGCGCGGCAGCAGCGGCAGAAGCAGCAGGGAGAGGCGTGGCGGTAACTGCCCCAGCGGGATCGGCGCTGCCAGGGGTAACGACAGATGCAGCGAGAACTTCCGCGAAAGTGGGGCCGGCGGATGGCGCGGCCAACTGCGCGCCGAGCTTCCGAGGCACGGCAGCTGTCCCCATCGCTGCAAAACCGTCGCTCCCTGCTGCCGTCTCAAGAGCGCTTCTGCCGCGGACGGTTCTGACGGCACGTGGCCACCAGAAGTGCGCGGATTGGCTGGAGTCGCCCTCGCATGGCGTGTTCGGAAGCTCGCCCAACGCCGCGGCACCTTGCGTCGCGGTGACGACGAAAATGAGCAAAAGCAACGCTTTCAAGCGTCTCGTGGTATCCCCCATGGTCGCCACTATCAGCGGATACAGATTGCTGTTATTAGAGAAAAATATTGCCTTCTTGCAGCTAAGACTCAATGTGGTGGTCCGAAATCCTAAACGAAAGCGATACTGCAGCTGGAACGAATGATTGTGTGCTTGGACTGCCTACCTGCCACCCTGGACTGTCGAACGCTCTAAATAGTTGCGATGACAACTGCTCGTCGTGACCTTTTAAGGTAAGCAGCTGTGTGTTTATGTCTCGCTCGCGAGGTGGTGATATGGTTGTTTGACCAACTTCCATGCGGTTGGAGCAAGTCAGAACGGCAAGGGCAGCTCCATCCACTGCAGCAACTCAGCTCGAAATTACAGGTCTCCCATCCCATCCCATCTCACTCTCCCCAGTGCAAACCTGGCTCATGGATGGATCCAATCCAACCCACAGAGCAGAAAGGGGCGCGAATTGCACGAAGAGGGGCTTCCAATTCCCGCTGTGCGGTGGCAACATTTGAGTGAAAATTTGAAGAGTATCGAATCGCGCGTGGTCCTGCCAAGTCGCGAAATTCACCTAATCGAGGCGCATGTTGGCAAATGGGTGGAAAATCGTCGTCTGCCAAGACGCATTTTCCGGCAGCTCCTGCGTCAGAGAAGGCTCGGAGGGAAAAGCTCGACATCTGTAAAATCATTTCCTGACTACACGTGGTCTGTGTATCATATTTCGCATTCCATTAAATCTTCAAAATCACAAACCCCCTCATTTCGCTCAACGTGCACCTACGTCTACACTCATAATCAGATTCTGACAGCGTTGCCTGTAAATCGGACTCAGAATCATCTTCTGCCACGATAAGCCTTCCAGAAGATCAGAGAAAAGGGCAGATTTGGAGGTTGGTCGTATCCATCCCGAACTATACTTGGTGAATGGGTCATGATCTGCATTAACACAAGCCTAATTGTAGCTCGATGTCCACATATGATCCACAAGCCAGAGTTGGAACATGACAGCTTAGGATTAAGGTAAAATAGCATTTCTAGTGCAAGCACTAGATTCTCACGTGCAGAGTTATCACTTTCAGCAAGTACATAGGTCAACTGGAAAGTGAAGATTGGGATGGATGCCTGCACTGACACAGTGCGAAGTACCAGTTCTATGCAATTTGACTTCCAAACGACACAAGGAGAAAGGCAAACAGCACAAGGAAAGCTGGAGGTGGAACCTTCACCCCTTGGTACGCACTTATCATATATGATTGTAATTAGGGAATCCAGACTCGCAAGAGGATTGGATGCATTATTAATCATGAACTGGCACATTGGATTCGTAACAAGGCGAGAGCCAGATTGACGTTTCATTTTAGAACAAATCAACACAAGCTCATGCAAGACTGCAATGCAAGGTAGGAGCTACACTCTGGCTACCGCATCCTACCATGGCACGAAAAAGTCAGGCCATTTATTTACTTGGCGGCAGCAGCAGGGTAGTGGAAGTAGATGGTGCGGCCGTTGAGCGGCTGGGGCATGCGGTTGTCGGTGCGATCCTGGTTGGAAACCGCCATAATGTTCATGAACTGAATCGTCTGCGCCACGGAGAGCGGCTGCGCCTTGCGCAGCACGTGCCACGAAACAATCTCGTCGCACTCGGGCGTGGTGAGCGAGCCGGGATACGCCCAGAAGCCGGACGACGCGTCGATCATCTCGCTCCAGAAGTTGGGCGTGATGGAAATGGTGGCATTCGCGTTGTTCTCCACGGGCGCCTGCGGCAGCCACTGGTTGACCCACGCGGAGTCGTCGTCGTGGCGGTGCACGCGCAGCATGACGCCCACGACCGCCAGCTTCTTGGGGTCGAGCGTGTTCACGTGCACGAAGTGCGCCTCCATGGGCGCGAACAGCCCGTTGATCGCGTGCTCCGAGTACGTGTGCACGTGCATCTGCAGCAGCTTGTAGTCGCCCGATGCGAGGTGCAGCAGGTGCGTCTCCTCCGGAGCGGGAATCACCTCTGCGATAAACAGCGGAGAGAAAGGGGATGGAACGATGGTAGGGGGTTTTGGATTGAGTACGGCCGGGGAAGCCTTTTCGACGCTTTTGTTACTACAAACGACGGCAGTATAAATACAGACGAAGTCCCGGATGCGCAGCAAAGTTTTTTCTCGAACGTGGTAGTACCATCAAGGCAATTCGAGTAAAGTCGCGAATTCACACCGTGCGTAATAATGCAATTTTCCTCTCCCCTGGGGCTGAGGTTTGGGACTCACGGATGGTGGAGCCCTTGTTGACGACGGACGCCTGCTTGCTGGTGCTGCCGTACTCGAGCGAGAAGAGCTCCGGCTTCTTGCTCTGCACCGTCTTGTCCATCACGATGTTCACCGGCGATTGGCGCTCGCCTGTCGCGCACGCGCCCTGCACGTCGCAGCCAAACGAATATCGAATCCAGACGAACATTGAAAGGTCGAGTCAGTGCGAAGGCAATGGGCGTGATACGCACACACAGTGAGATGGTTGCGGCTGCTGAGAGCGAAGAGCTAGCGGGCTAACGCGTTGCTATGACTGCCGATTGTTTGGCGATTGGAGAATTGAGGAAATTTGGATTGCACGTGCGGGGGTTGGTCCCTACCGGCCAGTCAGTGCCACTCTTCTCGTAGGTGAAAGCCCCAGTTGCGGCATTGGCCACAGCGGCGAAAGCTGCGAGCAGCACAAGGGCGACGGCGATTGAGCGAGCCATGGCTTGCTGCTGTTAGCTTCTGATTGTCAAGAGACAGGATGCACTGGGATTGAAGATGCGATTGTTATCGATGATGAAAATGAGTGCTGAGGATCGAGTTTTTGTATGGCAAGAAAGTTGTGGTGTATCACGAATCGCGTCGCGTCCCCGTCGCAGCACATCCTGGTGCTTTGTGGGTTGGGTTGGGCTGCTCGTGAGGGTTTTCGTGAAAGCTTCACGAAGAGGAATGCAGAAGGGAGCGAACGGGCGGCGAGATTCGGCCACCTCTGGATTCTCCCCTAGCGAAGTCCCATCACTGTCGCCAAACAATAAATTCCTCTTCGGGCACACATGCGACTCGTCTGGGACGTAATCAGCAGGCTGTCCCGGTGAAGGCTGAATTTGCCCCAGAAATGCGAATTGCTCGAGATGTTAGCCCAGGTCCATCCTGGTTATCGTGCGTAACGAGTGGCTCTCACGACGGAATTCCCGTGTCGCCCATCCATTCCACCCCAGCATGACGTGATTGCAACGAGGCGCCGATTTCCAGGTCGAGTTCAGATGTGAAGTGACCGAGCGAAAATTGGCTTTGAAAGCACCGTGAATCGATGTCCGCTTGCACGTGGAATCGTGGATGTTTGTGGTTGTGGGATGCCAAGCGAGGGGCGGATGAACCTTGCCTACTACTGACGCGTACAAGCAGAACCTCTCCCAGAATGTGTCCAATCCCGCGAGCCAAGTTCTGTGCTTCGTTATGGGAAACAAAACTCAATGAGTGATGTTCCTTTGAAGTATGGTCTACTGGTCCATATGCTGGTCCACCTAATCAATTTTACACTACTGGAGAGGAACATGCTAAGCGTTAAAAATATGGATTGGGCTATATTGATCGGATCGTGGTTCCTTCGTCGAGTTCCATAGAAAGCATATGCCTATATGCGCATGGCCAATTTATTGCTTGTAAGTCTTTCTCAATACTCGTAGTTGTAACCAACTTTACGTGGAAACGAAACACCGTTACCAAGTAACTTCCATGGTCCATCATCTGTCGACCACTATTTGTCCTCCAAAACCCGCAATATCGAATTCGTTGTAGATTCTCTGCCACCTCCGTAATCTTTTGTTTCTGCAAGTTTCCAAAGCTCTTTCTAACTCCGATTCCCCGTAACTAAGCGTCTTAGTTCAACTCCTGCGCCTTTAAATCCGCATCGTGATTCGTAACACCGCATACCGCGCCGGCGGCACTGCTTACTCGACTCGTAGACGCGATGCCGAAGAAAAAGGGAGGCTCCGGGAGCTTGGGCTCGTCTCTAATCCGCCATAGATTCAACCGCGGCTCGGAGTTTCAGCACGCCGACGAGGGCCAACGCCACGTCATCGCCGCGGCGGAAGCGGCGGCGAAACCGGCGCTGGTGTCGGTGGTGGATCAGAGTGACCTGGAGGAGCTGCTGACGACTGCTGAGCTGGCAGGGCGGGAGTTCGCCGCCCAGAGAGGCAACGCCGAGATAATCTACCTAGATGGGTGAGAAGCGGAACGATCAGAAATAATATCTGGGTGTAGGGTTTGGTTTCACCCCCCTAGATTGTGGGATCTTAGCTGTACTTGCTGGTCGTGTGTTGTTTCGTCCGCGGGTTGTGCGCTGCTGCTCTTGCCAGTAATTTCTTGGGCGCCAGCACGGTTGGTGCAAAGCTGCTACGTGTAGATGCGTCTTATTAGGGTTTTCCATGTAAACCCTGAACCCCGAACCCGAATCTATGACTGAGGGGTCATATTACAGGCACCTGCGAAGGTTCAAGCATCGTTGCCGTAAACCCCCAAATTTGAAGGTCTGGCGCGCTTTTACCCTGAGCCGCCTTCCGCCCACCTCCCTCCGTATTCCCCCCTCCGCCCTCCGCTCTCCGCCGTCCGCCGTCCGCCGTCCACCTTTCTCCACCCAGTTCTCCCTGCTCGCAGCTCTCGTCTGCGAGAGTGTCTTTAGGCTGGGCGGCGGAGGGCTGGTTGGCGCGCCCGTCCATCCCCCAACCGACCCTCCTCCCCTCCCCCCACACCGACTCTTCACAGGATGCGGGGGTGCAAGGGGGAAGAGTCTGTTTGTAGGCGTTTAAGACACCCCCATCCACCTCCCAACCCTCACAGCGAGTCTCTTCCCCGCCACTCGCTCCACACAACGCGTGTGATGAGTCGTGTTTTGAGTCGACTCAAAACACCCTCACAGCGAGTCTCTTTCCCGCCACTCGCTCCACACAACTCTCGCTGGAAATTTCAGTCGCTATCCAAAATTATAAGAAGCTCAACCCAATTCTCGCTGGAGGTCTTTCGCCTTACACAATCACACCCTAATAATCGTCACAAAAAAAAAAAAAAAAAAAGGTTCCCCTTTCACCCTCCCTTGTTTGATTGTTTGAGTGGGGATGTATGGGCTCAGGGCTTAAAAGGCCCGCCTTCTCCCCTGAAATCTTCACAAGAAATCGTTATTCTCCCTCCCCTTTCCCCCCCTCCCCTTTCCCCCTTCCCCTCCCCTCCCCCCTCCCTTCCTTCCCCCCCCCCCCCCCTTTCTCCGAATCATGGCAGTCATGATTTGGGGGCGGCAGGTGGGAAAGGCGGCAGCATCAGCGAGCGCAGGGAGCAGGAGGAACTTCATCGGAAGCTTCTTACCATCCCAAGACGGTGAGCGGAGAGCAGAGGGGACGGGAATGGCAGAGGAGAGGGATTGACAGAGGGTAAGGGAAGTGGGGAGGGAGAAGAGCAGAGGAGGGGATGAGAGGAGGGGGAACTTGCTTGGGCGTCTGTTGAGTGATTCGTGAAGAGAAGTTGGCACGAGAAGAGTTGAGTGATCAGCTGTGGTTAAAATTCCAAGTTTATTCCTTGTTTCAATAGAAAGCAGTTATGAGGTGAAAACAAAATGCATGCTGCCCCTTCTCACCCCTCTTCCCTTCCCTTTCCCCTCCTTCCTCCGCCAACCCCCCCCCCCCTCCCCCTGCTCCCCTTTCTCCCCGTCTCCCTCCCATCCGCCTCTCTCACTTCTTCGCCCCCAGGCCCAAGTGGAGCGCGAGCATGACGTCAGCAGAGTTGGACGCTAGTGAGAAGGCGGCTTTCCTGGAATGGAGGCGATCTCTCTCCGCGTGAGTGGCTGGGGGGGAAAGGGTGGGAGGGTGCGGAAGGTGGGTGGAGGGGAGCGGAGGGGAGGGGAGAGGAGGGGAGAGGAGGGGAGGAAGGAGGGGGCGGGGGGAAGGGAAGAGCGAGCTAGGGGTGGAAGGGGATGATGTTGCATGGGGGGAAGGGAGAAGGGGGAGGAGGGAGTGGGGGATGTGTTCATTGATGGTGCATGGTCATGTGCGTTGCATCCTGAGTGTCACCATTTGTGTTGCATTTGTGCGTGACTGTAATCGAATGTGACTGTACTTCTGTGTGACTGTAACGAATGTGGGGTGACTATGTGGCAGGGTGGAGGAGAACAACCACCTGGTGGTAACCCCATTCGAGAAGAACCTTGACATCTGGCGACAGCTGTGGCGAGTGCTGGAGAGAAGCCACCTGGTGAGTGGTTACCCAGTTACTGACAGGTCTGTTGTTTAGCCAGCCACCAGTTTAGCCATTGTGAGTCTCATGCGTACTGTAGTGTCTCACTGGAGTAACTGTTACCATCCATTGTATGTAATCCAATTGTAACTGTGTTATCCGCTGTAACCCCTTGTCTATCCAGGTGGTAACCGTGGTGGACAGTCGGGACCCTCTTCTTGCATTGACCTTTTAGCTGACTGAAGCCCCTTCCCAATCCATCCACTGTAACCCCTCTTGCAGGTGGTAACCGTGGTGGACAGTCGGGACCCGCTCTTCTACCGCTGCTCTGACTTAGAAGCCTACGTCCAAGAGCTGGGCGCAGCACCCTCTCACATTCCTCATATCCTTGACATCCATTGTAACCCCTTGTCTTTCCAGGTGGTAACCGTGGTGGACAGCCGGGACCCGCTCTTCTACCGCTGCTCTGACCTTGAAGCGTACGTGCACGAGCTGGCCGCAGGGCCCAAACACAGTACCGAGAGCAGCAGCAGCAGCAACAGCAGCAACTCGAAAGACGAGAGCAATAAGGACTTGGCAGACGGGAGCAACAGGGACGTGGCAGATGGGAGCAGCAGCAGCAGCAGCAGCAGCAGCAGCAGAAGGGCCAGAGAGGAGGGTTCGCCGAGCCGCACGCTGCTGCTGCTGAATAAGGCCGATCTGCTGCCTGCTGCTGTGCGGCGGCTGTGGGCTGAGTGGCTGAAAGGGCAGGGCGTTGAGTTTGCCTTCTGGTCCGCCAAGGCTGCTACTGAGGGGGAGGAGGAGGGAGAGGAGGAGGAGGATGAGGAGGGAGAGGAAGGGGAGGAGGATGAGAGTGAGGGTGAGTGGGAGGAAGCGGAGGATGGGGAGGAGGATGAGGAAGAGGATGAGGAGGAGGAAAGTGGGGAAGTAGGTAAAAGCAGTGAAAAGGAGCAAGAGGAAAGTGAGAATGCAGAAGAGAAGGGTGAGAATGTGAAGGAGAGGGTGAGGGTGACTAAAGAGGATGTGAGGATACATGGCAAGGACAGCCTATTGCGGTTGCTCGAGGAGAAAGCTGCTGCCATCGCTGCTGCCGCCGCCGCCGCTACTGCTGCTGCTGCCGGTGGTACTGCTGGTGTTGCTCCTGCCGCTGCTTCAGCAGGAGCAGCTGGGGGGAGAAGGGAGAAGCAGAAGGACGGGCAGAAGGAAGGGCAGGAGAGGGTGGTGGTTGGATTTGTGGGCTACCCAAACGTGGGTAAGAGCTCTACTATCAATGCTCTTGTTGGGTCCAAAAAAACTGGTGTCACGTCCACTCCGGGCAAGACAAAACATTTCCAGACGCTGCCCGTGTCGGACTCGCTAATGCTCTGTGACTGCCCGGGGATGGTTTTCCCGTCGTTTGCGTCTGCCCGGTCAGAAATGGTTGCTGCTGGAGTGCTGCCCGTTGACCGAATTACGGATCAAAGAGGGCCTGTTGAAGTGGTTGCCCGAAAAGTTCCCCGGACAGCCCTTGAAAGTATTTACGGGCTGACCTTTCCGCCTCCACCTGCCCATGAAAGACCCGACAGACCCCCAAAGGCAGCGGAGATTCTTAAAGCCTATGCCCGGTCACGAGGGCACGTGGTTTCTTCTGGGCTGCCCGATGAAACCCGGGCAGCTCGAATTATCTTGAAGGATTACTTGAGTGGGAAACTGCCACATTTCGAGCTGCCCCCAGGCTGCCCAGAGGACAGTTTTAGCGACAAATTCTGGTTGGGCACAGAAGCAGGAGGAGGAGAGGGAGAGGGAGAGGGAGAGGAAGGGGAATTTCTGGTTTTAGACGCAGTTGACTTGGAGCATTTCGGAGGTATGGCTCTGGAAGAGGCCCAGCAGGCTGCCGCTGCTGCTGCTGCTGCAGGCGATTCTCTTGGTGATGCTGACTATAACGAGGATGGGGTAAGCGGGGGAAGAAACACCGCTAGCAGCGGCAGTGCCACTGGTGCTGCTGGGGCAGGGCTGGGAGGCGGAGGGGGGAGGAGGCAGCAGCAGCCGGCAAAGGCGGAGCATAAGAAGCAGAAGAAGCAAGCGAGGAGCAAGAAGAGGGAGTGGAGGGTGGGCCGGGGGGGAGGGGATGGGGAGGAGGGGGCAGTGATAACGGTGAGGGGGGTGGTTAAGCCTTTGAGCCATGGGGCGGTGCAGCCTGGGATGGTGCTGCCGGGTGCCAAGCACTTGGTGCAGTGATAAGGGATAGAGTGCGGTAGAGATGGTGGGTGGGCAGTGGTGGTGGTGATGGCGGTATTGAGAGGTGTGGCCAAGCTGTTGAGTCATGGGGCAGTCAAGGCTGCTGGGTGTCAAGCACTTGGTGTCGTGATGGGAATGGCGGGAGTGGGGTGTGGTGATGGTGGGTGGGCAGTGGTGGTGGTGATGGCGGTGGTGAGGGGAGTGTGCTGCCAGGAGTCAAGCACTTGGTGCGGTGATAATGGTAGGGTGCGGTGGTGGTGGGTGGGCAGTGGTGGTGGTGCTCGCAGGGGGCAGTGATGGTAGGGGTTGCAATGGTGCCTCCAAGGTGAGGTTGGGTGAGGTGGTGGTGGTGCTGGCACTGGCAATGTCTGAGGCGCCAAAAGGATCCTAGTAGTGAGGGGCACTAAAGAGAGATTCCAACTTGGGGCGTGTGTTGCTGGGTGTCCGTGTGGTGTGGCGACTTGTGCTTTAGGTGTGATAGTGGGAATGATGTACCAGTATAACTACAGCAAATTATATGATGTGGAAATTCTCACTCACCAGGGAGCACCTCCCATCCTCGGTAGGATGATGATCTAACACATGATGAAGCATCACCCTTTCAAGGCACCCACCCTCTACCTCGGTTCGGTACAAGCTGTTGTCTCGCGGCACAGTCACAATCTATTTGCGAACATTCTGTCTGTAGTTCCTATTGCACAAACGTCTGTCTTGTATTGCTACCAACCTAACCAACCTCTGAAAGTGGTATGGTACGGTACCTCACATCACAACAGCACATAGTACCTACACCTTATCTGCAGGAAAACTCTTTGTTTCAAACCACACAACACTGAAAAGAAAAGAAACAAAAAACTTCTATTGCTACCCATGCTCCCTTGCTGTTCCTCTACCCATGAACCTCAAGAGTCTTGAGGGTTTAGGCATGGCAACCTGTCTCAACAAATGCCAACCCATGCCAACTCGTGCCAAATCATGCTAACTCGTGTCAACTAAAGGCGCTGGCGCTGCCACGTCAATACCATTCAGTACTCTCTCAGTATTGAGTCGACTCAAAACTACTCTCTCAGTACCCCCTAAATGCGTGCCACACACACCTCTTTTGCACCCCACACGCCAGCACCATACTCAGCTGCAGCCCACACAGCACACTGTTTCTGCCCTTCCGCCCATTGCTCTTCACTATACCCCTCCCTCTCCCCATCACGTTGCTCCTCCGACTGCTCCCCCCACTCCCCCTCCCTCCCCCCCTCCCACTCCCCCTCCCAATCCCCCTCCCTCTGCTCCTCCCGCTCCTCCCCCCGCTCCCCCTTCCGCTCCCCTTGCTGCTCCCACCTCCCCTCCCCCTTCCGCGCCCTGCTGATCCCCCATCTGTCCTTGTTTACGCCGGTTGCGATTGTTCCTCTTCTTCTTGCTTCCGCCGGAACGAGCCGCGCCTCCCCCAGTTCCCGCCCCTCCCGCCGCTCCGCCCGTACCCGTTTTAAGCTGCTGAATAGCGGGTTTCGCGGCGTTCAGCAGCCACTCGAGCGTGTCGCCGTACGTCGCCTTGTCCGTTCCCAGCCGCAGCGCGTGCAGCTCGAAGAACGCGCGCTGCATCTCCGGGGAAAACGACACGCACGAGCACTGCGCGCCGCCACCCGCGCCGCCACTACTCCCCGCCACGCCTCCCCCCATAACTCCGCACCCTCCCCCGCCTCCGCCTCCGCCGTCTCCGCCGCTGACCTCAGCATTTCCGCCGATATGGTTGGTCACATCACCGCTCCCACTCTCTCCTCCACCCCCTCCGCTCTCCGCGCCCGCCCCTCCCCTTCCGCGCCCTCGACCACCCCGCTGTCGCCCTCGCCCGCCCCGCTGTCCCCTTCCGCCAGGCGCCGACGTTGCGGGGGCGCCGCCTTCCGCGCCGCTCGTACCACTGGCGGCGCCCGCATGTTCTTCCGCGATAGCATGGCTGGCGGCTTCCACCGCTGGCGCGGGCGCAGTGAGTGACGGTTTGCCCTCCGCGGGGCCCGCTGGAACAGGCCGGATGGATTCTAGGCCCTGCATTGCGGGACACTAGACAAAAGCCTCTTTCGGGCGCGTAAATGCGGGAATCGGAATTGCGTCAGGAGCTTCTAGACTCCACTAAGCCAGAATTCGGATCCTCCGCTACTGCGTCTAAGAAGCGGGAATCTGTGGCGTAAGGGGACAGGCAGAAGGTGCGAAATTCGGAGGAAGGAGAGAAAAATGTAGTAACACAAACCACCAGTAGCGATTTATGTTCGCGCTCAAAACAGCTCTGGGAATGGATTGCTTGCAGCAGTACACGCGAGGCGGCTCGTGAATTCGAGACAGCGTGGAGATGCCACGTACGGATGAGCGCATTCTGACGAATGAAGTGGGTCAGATTGCCACGTGAAGGATTATGGGAGGAGGATGGAGGGTGCGTGCGTGGCCACTTGGCACTGGATTGCCAATGAAAGCAGGACATCAATTGGATCAAACGCATAATACTCACGGATAAATGGAGAACATACTCCACTACCTTACTACTGAACACATTTTGCAAGTAGACTTCTGACATTGTAGCCAGGTACCCATATTGGTTGTCCTAACAATGCAGGTACCTTAAAGCCCGAGTCCCAAGTTGCAGGCCGCAGGCATCAAGATTACTAATCTTGATGACCTAGGTGTTGCCCGGCTACACTTTCTACAAATCCAGCCTAGTCCCGATACTCAATTTGAAGAACCTCGTGCTGCAACTTGGGACTTCCGCACAAACACAAGCGCAAACGAAGACACCAGTGCTAGAAACCTCTTGCCAGCCCAAGTGCCCTCCAATCAAGATTACTAATCTTGTGCAACTTGGGCTGCGGGCTTTAATTGCGAGAATAAAATGGGCCAAATCCAACAAGCCAAATAACTTGCTGGATTTCGCCTCCCTAAAACGGGCCTTATGTCTTTTGCATGCGATTTGGGCTTGAGTGGAAAGGTACTAACAATATGTATGGTCCAACGGAGTGAGACCACCCTCTAGGAGTACAGAGTCGCGTATTATTGCAACAGATGTTTCAAGACTTGCAACGGACATGAACTGCCAAAAATTCCCAGGGTGATGCTTAAGCTGCAGCTGAGAAGATTGCAACAGGGGAGCCTGAACACCACAGACAAACATATTGCAGCGGAACATCCGGAAATACGATACATGAATCTTAAAGCCCAAGACCCGAATTACAAAAAACGAAGGCAAACTGTGCACAGTTTGCCTCCCGCAGCCCACAGTTTTGCCCCGCGTTGACTTGCGTTGAGCAATTCAGGTCTTGGGCTTTAACTCCTCAACTCCAACTTCCAACTTGCAGTTCAAAAGCACCACATAGACACGCCCACTCATGATAACATTCCCTTCACACATGAGAGCCTCACAAGGCACCTGTGCAACACACACCTGTGCAACACACACCTGTGCAACACACACCTGTGCAACACACACCTGTGCAACACACACCTGTGCAACACACACCTGTGCAACACACACCTGTGCAACACACACCTGTGCAACACACACCTGTGCAACACACACCTGTGCAACACACACCTGTGCAACACACACCTGCGCAACACACACCTGTGCAACACACACCTGTGCAACACACACCTGCGCAACACACACCTGTGCAACACACACCTGTGCAACACACACCTGTGCAACACACACCTGTGCAACACACACCTGCGCAACACACACCTGTGCAACACACACCTGCGCAACACACACCTGCGCAACACACACCTGTGCAACACACACCTGCGCAACACACACCTGTGCAACATACACCTGCGCAACACACACCTGCGCAACACGCGCAACACACACCTGTGCAACACACACCTGCGCAACACACACCTGCGCAACACACACCTGTGCAACACACACCTGTGGGACTGACACACGGAACGACACCAGAATCCAATGAGAGGAACACCCCCGCTCCTCCCCCACCCCTTCCCCCCCCTACACCCAAGTTGAACACACCTGGCACAGCAGCAGAGATGCGGGCGGCGTCCTTGGAGTTGACGGCAGCAACGGCATCGGCATCTGATGTGAGGAACCCTCCCCTCCCCTCCCCCTCTCCCCCCCCCTTCCCTCTCCCTCCCTGGATAATACCAAGTGGAACACACCTGGGACAGCGGTGGAGATGCGGGCGGCGTCCTTGGAGTTGACGGCAGCAACGGCATCAGCATCTGATGTGAGGAACACCCTCCCCTCCCCCCCCTCCCTCCCTCCCCCCACCCCCCACCCCCCCTCCTCCTGAATCAATCTCAAGTGCAACACACCTGGCACAGCAGCAGAGATGCGGGCAGCGTCCTTGGAGTTGGCAGCAGCAATAGCATCAGCATCTGATGTGAGAAACACCCTCCCCTCCCCTTCCCCCCCCCCCCCCCAACCCCCCACCCCACCTCCTCCTGAGTCAATCTCAAGTGCAACACACCTGGCACAGCAGCAGAGATGCGGGCAGCGTCCTTGGAGTTGACGGCAGCAATAGCATCAGCATCTGATGTGAGAAACACCGAGAACTGATCCAGCTGCAGCTGGCGCTGTTGATCACAAGCCACGAGAATGCAGTGAGGAACAGTTGCACTTGGGTTGGGCACATGCAGAAACTGTGCTGTGCTGTGCTGTGCTGTGCGGAACACCGAAAATCGCTCACATGACACCAGTCCGATACGGAGACGCACTCAGACGTACAATGATGCGCATACTCTGGTAAGTGCTGATCAGCAGAACGGCATGCTCCAATCAGGACGCTGGTGCCACGTCACCATACTCATGACATCAGCATGGGGGCAGCGTCTCACCTTGATGAGGTCAGCATTCTCCCGCAGCACGTTGGCCTCGTCAAACTGCAGCTTCACGTCCAGAGCCTGATGGGGTGAGCGGTGGAACAAGGTAACATTTGGTGGAACGAGGTGATGTGTGGTGGAACGAGGTGATGTGCGGTGGAATGAGGTATTATGCGGTGGATGAGGTGATATGCGGAGGACCAAACTTGAAGTTAAGAGCAACAAGGGCAGCAGGTCATAGCCTTTAGGGATGCACGGCAGAGGACACATCAGGGTGGCAGACAGCAGATCAATCTGAGCGGTTGGCGACTGACCTGGGCGCCGTGCAGCAGAGCAGCATCCTTCTTGAACCGGATGAACCCCATGCACTGCCCCATCAGCTTCTTAAAATCCGGGCGCTGAAAAGTGGTAGCGATAGGAAAAGCAGAAGAAGTGTGAGAGGAGGAGAGACAGGAACGTCTAGGGTTATGAAGTGGTGG